GCGGGCAGGGCCCGGCAGGCGGGCAGCCCAGACGGTGCCGGGCGGGGAAGCACGCCTGCCGGGGGGCCGCCTTGTCGGGGATCCCTGTAGCGACTCTGCTTCGGGAAGAAGTACGCCGTTACTGCGGATCGGAAGCTTTACGGACGCGCACTCCCTTCCATTGTTTAATTACATAATTAACTTAATGAAAGGCTGGATCCGGGTCCCACTAGTTCAATGCCCCAGCCTTAAAAATACCCAAAGCAGGTCGGCTCACAACACCGAAAAGGATTCTGGCTTCACCAAATGCCGGCAGTATTGGCTGCGCAGCGTGCCGTAGCTTTCTGACGGTGGCATTTGCGCGGGGAGGTGGGGATCCCCTTTACCAGCAGTAATTTTGTCTAGGTTGAGGAAACACCACAATTTACAAGTGTGATATTCTGAATTTGCAACTCACGTTGCTGAAATAAGCACAAAACTGCCGCAGAAAATTTGTTGTTGTTGGTTTTGGGGTGGGGGTATCTTGTCGTTTGGGGGTTTTTTGTTGTTTTGTTGTTTTGTTTTGATGGGGGTTTTTTTGGTCTTTTTTTAATCCCTGTGGAGGAAGCAGAAGTATCCGCCGATATTGCCATCAAATAGAGATACCTCCGAAAGAACGACAACTGCCTTCTTTCCACCACATAAACGTCTGCAACATGCCATTAATTTCTGGGCGATTCCTGCAACACCCTACTTACTCCTACCTATGCACGTTCGTAGCGATATGTGCAGGCTCTGAAGTCTAGCTCAATTAATTTGATTTTTTCTAAAAATATGTTACAAACATTTCAATTAAAATAACATTTATACAGCGTTCATACACACCAGTGACACCAATTTCGTATTTACTTGCTGATATTGCGTGCACTCCGGCCACCACATTATTTCTATTCACGTTTTATTTAATTTATAGAGCCTGTACCTTCGAGACTCTATTAAAAAAACCCAAACAAACCCAACCCAAACCCAACCAAAACAAGCAAAAAAGAAACTCAGGGAAAAAAAAAAAAGGAAAACATGATAAATCCTTGGTTGGAGCTGGGAAGCCCATGATGTCTGTGTGGAACATGACGTACGTGGGATGAATGCAAGAGGCACACACACGAGCTCACAGATCCGTACACCTAATGCCAAACCAAACACTTCTTCCACATACACAAACACGCCGTGACCCACACGTACTTTAATTCCTACCAGCTTTGTCTGTTTTTCTTTTAACTGTTAATATGTAGCAGTGTCTTTGATAAAGCTGAAATCAGCTGCGAGGCGTTGACATTTTACAGTTAGGCGCCGTGCCACATTTAGCGTGGGGATTAAAACAAAGCCGGGGCCGGTCTTTGGCGGCCGGGGAACCCCGGCACCCCGGTGCCCGGGCGCCGCAAGCCCCGTCCCGCCTCCGCCCAGGGCAAGAGAACCTGCAGCCGATTTCCCGACCGCTTTGCGCTTTCCACCAAAAAAATGACTCGAGCCCCACCGCTCGCAGCCTTCTCGTGCACCACCCGTGAAAAATTCGTTAGCGAGAAAGTCCTTTATTACAACAAGGGGACCGTAAACGCGGGAGAACTTCTCTGCCGCACTCGCCAGGTCCAACCGCGCCTGTGTCAAGACATCGCTCTGCTTCTGTCAAGGAAAGGGGGAACGTCTCCGCCAGCCCCG